ATGTAATATTTTAAAGCTTTATCATATTAAACACGTCTCTCTTAAATTAAATACAACATCTGAATAATTATTAAACATTCAATTAAAAACATTCTCAATGTAAACCTTGTATTATATTTACATTAATATTTCTTAGAAATTTGTGAAAATAAAATAAAATCGTTATATTTGAATCTATAAATTTAGACATTTAAATTATCAATAAGAAAAGATCAATCAATATTATATCAAAATTTAAAATGATTGATTGTTTATGTATTCTTAGGTCAAAGAAATTTAAATTATTGCATTTTTTATTATTTGCGATTAATTAAAATGTTCAAATATTGCTATAAAGAGTCGGTCTTTTCAAATTTATATATTAATCATTAGATTAAGCTTGAGATTAGTCTTTTTTTAGATTTTAGGAGTAATTTATTCATTATTTTCTAGTATCATTTTTCAAATATAGGCTGTAGTAATCGAGTAAAATATGGACTAATAATGAATTGTATAGAAAATATGCTTAAATTCTTGTGCATTTTCGATTAGTTTACAGCAGTATAATCTTCACAACAAATTTAGTTTAACAAAGGCAAGCTATATAAATTATTCATCATTTTAAATATTGAGTTCTTTAGTTTCTTAAAGTATCAATTTAAATCTTCAATTCATTTTAAATGTGAATTATCATAATTTCATTAACTATATGATACGAATTTCAGAAAAATTTTGATTCTGCTAAGTTTTAGGATCAAGAAACTTTGCTTCTAATTTAAAAATGGCAAACACTTGAAAATTTTTAAACATCATCAAATTAAGATTTTGTGAAAAACATTAATATGCAAGAAGTAAAAGATAAGCTTAAATAAATAGGTTGAAATTGAGGAATCAACAAATTTAAATCTATTCAGAAGGAGTAAATAAGTCAAACATCGTATTGCTTTAAAACAATCTTCAATTATTGATTAAAATATCTTTAATAAGTAAATCAGATTTTTTTTAATCCTTAATCTAAAAGGCTAGATTTTTAATAAAATGAATTTAATTTTAATTGCATTTAACATAAAATGAAATAAAAGAATTCTTAAATTCATTTTATTATTTTAATCAAATTACCATTTAGTAAGAGAGAATTAATATTTTGTATAATGAATTAATTTTTTGAAATAAAAGCAAATAGAATACTTCTTACCTTAAAAGAATAATATAATGCTCAATAAATTTTTATAATACTCAATTTTTACTTAATGAAAAGCATTAAAATAAAATCAAATAAAGTCCACTAATATCATTTATATTATTATGTAAATTCACTCATAATGTCATAATTTATTTAATATTTTTATAATTTTTATCCTAAACTTAAATTCTATTAATTTTCTTATTCAACTTAATCAAAACTTTCATTACTTATTTCTGAGCAACTACTTTGATTTTGATCATGATTTTATTGATTTTCTTAATCTAAATCGGAGTTTTCTTAATCTACATTGGAGTTTACTTCTTAATTTAATTCTTATTGTCTGTTATTAAGTTAATTTAACGAAATATTTAATTAGACAAGGTGATTCAATAGTTATTAACATTTACTTAATTTGAAGAGTAGTTTAATTTCAATGAGATAATACTTATAAAATTGGCGGCTATTTTATCCTCTTTGCTTTTTTATTTTTTTTGGAAATTAGAGTGATTGATTAAAGAAAA